CTTTGCTTTCCATTTCAACTGGCCCGTTTAATACCTGTGATTGGATAAGTTAGTCTTCTCGGGCTCTGGTTTCTTCATCTCTAGGATGAGGATAATGAACAGTCTTGATGCTTAGGGACATTATGAGGATTAAACAAGTAATACAGGTGAAATTTTCAGAACACTGCCTGTATATCCTGTATACATGTTAGCTCTTAACTTCCCACTCCTCTGTTTCCTCCAACTCCTTCTTATTGTCGTCAGACACCATATACCAGGCAGTCTGCTAGAAACTATTTGTATATCTTCCAGTTTTTTCTTTTGTAGTATCTTTCTGTCCTTAGTAACTAAAACAGTTCAAATAAAATTTTTATCACTAAAAATTATACTGTAGCATTCATAAGTGTGATTTTTAGCAACTGGTAAATATATTGTCTTAGTGCCACTATTTAGCTTAGTAGAAGACAAAGACAGAATTTGTATATGTGGATTCTTATTAACATGCAAAATGAAAAGGAAAAAAAAATTTAAAGGCAAACATAAAGGTTTGTTTTCTCATCTAAAAATAAAATATAACGTGATGCATTTTGGAATTCTAAATTTCTCATTTCATTTTTACTGTGGCTAGTAGATAGTTATTTTTTCCTCTCATCAAGCAGCACATATGCATCTATATACAGGGTGCGATGGTAAGTGCTGGGGATATAGTGATGAATAAGGTACTTCCCCATAAATCTGAAGTCAGAGGTACTCAAAGTGATGCAGAGGGAACACTGGGATGGGCAATAACCTCTGCCTAAGATAGGTAAAATTTGAGTTAGGATTGACAGATAAATAGGACTTTGTTGGGAAAGAATGACGTGGAAGGAATATTGGGAAGGAATGATGGTCTTCTACTCTTCTAGGTAGGAGAGTCAGAGTGAGTAGATTTAGAAGTTGGGAATTGTCCACAAAGCACTGCAGTATATAAAGAAGTGCAGAGTGTCTGTGGGCACAGTGGAGCAGGATGCAGGATGACAAAGACTGACAGTGCTGCTTGGGTCTGGAAATGAAATTCAAGTTTATAATTTACCCAGTAGAAGCAAGTAGTAATGAGTAGGACTAAGAGGAAAAGTGCCTCTGCAGAAGGCAGGCAGGGAGAATGTAAAGGCAGATGCCCAGTGACGGAGCAGACAAGTAAGAAGACTAGAAACCAGTCAGTCAGGGCATCTGTATGATTCAGCAGCCACCAGTGGCCTTGGCAAAAAGTAGTTTGAAGCTGAGGAGTGAATGGGGAAAAAATAATTTGAGACAGTGACAGCAGACTCTTCTTCCAGAAGTTTGTTGAGAAAAGGCAGTAAATGAGGGCAAAAAAAAAGAAAAGTAATTATGGCATGATTCATGATATATGATATATTCATGACAGAGACTTGAGAATTTCTGTAGAGCAAGAAATCTGAATGGTAGTTTATTAACATGACATATGATATTCACTTCATTTACTGGTCAGAAATTAAGAATCTCTCTCTAAAATACAAGTGAAAACTCATAGCGGTCAGAAGGACCATCATTAAAAAGTCTACAGTTGGCAAATACGGGAGAGTGTGTGGAGAAAAGGGAGTCCTCTTACACTGTTGGTGGGAATGCAAATTAGTGCAGCCACTATGCAGAACAGTATGGAGGTTCCTCAAAAAAACTAAAAATGGAGTTACCATACGATCCAGCAATCCAGTAAATGCCCTACTCCTGGGCATATACATAGACAAAACTATAATTTAAAAAGATACATGCACCCCTATGTTCATAGCAGCACTGTTCACAATAGACAAAACATGGAAACAACTAAATGTCCCTGGAGAGATGAATGGATAAAGATGTGGTACAAATATACGATGGAACACTACTCAGTCATTTAAAAAATGAAATAATGCCACTTGCAGCAACATAGATGGAACTAGAGCTTATCAAACTAAGTGAAGTCAGAAGGAGAAAGACAAACATCATATGACATTACTTATACATGGAATCTAAAATATGACAAAATGAACTTATCTACAAAACAGAAACAGACTCACAGACATAAGAGAACAGACCTGTGGTTGCCAAGAGGGAGGCGATGTCAGGGAGGGATGGATAAGAAGTTTGGGATTAGCAGATGCAAACTATTATATACAGAATGGATAAACAACAAGGTCCTACTATATAGCACAGGCAGCTATGTTCAATATCCTGTAATAAACAATAATGGAAAAGAATTTGAAAAAAGAATATCTCTCTATATTTATTTCTCTTTATCTTAGACTGGAACACAAAGCTTTAACTAGTTTGAAGATAGGTGAAAATCACAGCTTGGACTTGGTTCAAGGCTTTTATTTTGGTGTACCACAAAAGCATCCGGGAGTTGGTGATGGACAGGGAGGCCTGGAGTGCTGCGATTCATGGGGTTGCAAAGAGTCAGACATGACTGAGCGACCGTACTGAATTGAACTGAACTGAAGGATATAAATGAGGTAAGGATGAGGTAGGTGAATTCGGCTGCCCACTGTCCACTTGTCGGTGTATCACAAAAATTTTGGTGGCTTCAACAGCTCTGTCAGAGAAGAATAGCATTGTGGTCTTAAAAAAACCCAACAACAAATAAAAACTCCAGGTATGTCAGTATCTAGAAATAACTTACTTAATGTGAAAATCCTGTTTTTAAGGAAACCACATCATCCAGCCTAATGTCTGGATCCGGGTCTTGAAACTCTTGGCTCTATCTTCTCTGAGGCAATCTTGCTTGACATTTATGTTTATCTAGGGTCTTTTCAAGGCAAGAATTGGTAGGCCTACAGTATACAAGGCAGGGTAAAAGACACAAGGCAAGGTTTCTTGCTGGTTTTAGTACAGAGGCTCAGGAAACACAGGTATAAAATGAGCATTCCATTACTTTGTCTCTGCAGTTCAGGAACTTCTGTGTTTTTCACAAGGTAATGTAAACTTAAAGAGATGTTTTCAATCTAACAGCCTCATTTAACTCACCTAATTCTCTTGGCTCCCTTTTCTGTAACATCTACACAGAACACCCTATTTTCAATGGCGCCAAAGGTTGTTATCTTCAGGGAATTTTGTCAGGGTGAGCCCAGATAGAATCTCTAGATTTGCTGCACTCATGAAATTTTTATTCAGGGTGACCTTCTTGAGATGTATTATTAAAGATGGGTATATTTCATATCTAAGACTTTAGAGACTGCTTATAATATTCCAGGTGGATTTGAGAGATTTTTGCTGCATTCATACATATGGTAACAGTGTCTGTGTAACAAGGCAAAATTATTAAATCTCTGAAATAATATTTACATCTAGAGAGATGTAATCAGATACTTTTTAAAAACCAGCTATCAAATATCATTTGTTATCTTCAGTATGTTTTAGTAAATTCTAAACACTACGGTTTTCTAATTTCAAATTTGTTGCTTCAATTTCATAATGTTTGGTGAACTTTAAGGAAGTTCAAGATTGCAGTAGTACGTTTTCTTGATCTCCCGAAATACCTCTTTTATCAGATAAAACTGTCGTTTAGAGTAGATCATAGATATGAGTTAAGGCTATCAATGTGGGGCAATCATTTGGGTGTCACTGAAGTCGGATTTGTTACATAAATTTGTGTTTCAGGCAAAAGAGTGATGGAAAACTTTTTCCTGATCTTATAAGCTTAGGTCCTAGAGCAAAAATCTGAATCAATTTTGTCTATGCTAGACTAAGAATATTGCTACAAGGTAATAAAGAAGTCAGTGGCTTCAATGTTTTATTACTAAATAAATATGAAGGAAAACTGCAGTTTAGGAATAATCTGGCACACTGTCAAGCAATACTATTAACCTGTTAAAACCTGGAAAACTAGGTAAGTGCTTGAGCATGAAGTGGATTTTCTGTATTTTTCTCGTAATTGTGTCCTTACTTCTAGCCATCACAAAACTGAAACAAACTTTAACAAATATCCTATGATATCACTTATATGTGGAATCTAAAAAAATTATGCAAATAGATACAGACTCACAGACACAGAAAACAAACTTATAGTTACTAAAAGGAGAAAGGAGGTGGGGATAAATCGGGAATTTCGAATTAACATGTACACACTACCATATATAAAATAGATAAAAAGAGTCTACTGTATAGCACACAAAACTATATTCAATATTTTGTAATACCCTATAATGGAAAAAAATAAGTAACTGCTCTTCACCTGAAACATTATAAAAAAATTACACTTCAACAAAGAATCAGTAATACTTAAATAAAAAAACTAAAGCAAACTTTAGAACTGGTTTTAATTATCAGTATAAACATGTCTTCAGCTTTACACTTATTAGCCTCTTAATTTCAGTAATAATACATCTACATATGCACATATATCGGTATGTGTCTATTCACAACTTCAGCCATTAGGTTATCTTTTGTTAACTTGGTCTGATGAGTTGATGAGGTCCTAATCAGAAGACAATGCGACAGGAGCAGAACGGAGGGCTAAGTCCTCAAAAAGTACAGCTGATGCGTGGACGCATGGGTGTGAGCCCTGAGGGCCTGCTCACACTCGGGCCTTTGTCAACAGTAAGTATTACAGCGCCATGCGATCCGAGACTCAGAACCGCAGATGTGGAGGGACAGCTGTAACTAGTATGCAGGTTTTTTTTTTACTGCATGGTGGATGGGTATCTTTAAAACCTGTGTTGTTCTAGGGTCAACTGTAGTCTGATTCTTGTTCATTTCTGATAGTGATGAGTCCTCAGAAATTTGAAGATGAAGACAACTGAAATTTTTGAGCATACCTTAAGCCACATAAAAATTACCAGTGACAAAGAAAGAAGGATTATATTACATTTAATAGTATTAATTTTGAAGATATTTCAACATTACATGAAGGGATACCCTTACAAAGTGAAGTGTAGGAATCAGTGCAAATTTTGGTTAGCTTGTTCAGAAACAAAATGTTCTAAGAATGTTCTGAACACTGCTTCCATTTTTTTTTTTTGCTTCCAATATTAAAGTGAAGGTAATTTTTATAGTTGTTTGAGGTGTTGTAATATGTCTACTGATACTCCCAGCTGTTTTACCAAACTGGCTGTCTGTTCTAAAATCCAAGTGAGGCTTGGGTTTTCAGGGCGTGCGTGCTCCTGGGCTCTACAACATTCTAAAGATGAACAATCTACCAGACTAAGATTCTTACTACAGTTTTTGTTAAACTCAGCATTATTTTCATAGAATCTTTCATCTTTAGCTTCATCAATCTTTTCCTCAGCTGGAGCTACATGACAAAGGTCCATATCCTGAATGGAGTCCAATAAATCTACAACATGTGGCTGTGAAGTGATTGATTTCAGATGTCTGAGCACATACTCTTCACACTGGCCAACTGCATCCAGAAGATCATTTATTTTACTGATCAAAGCCGAACTATTATCATGAAGGTGACACCAGGAGAGCAAAGCACTGAACGAAAATATAAATAAGAGTTAAAGAGGAAAAAACATTAGACAATCAAAGGCTTTTAGAATTTTTGAAGCTAAGGCTTACATGTTTCTCTTCTAGATAACATCATGCAAAAATTATTAATAGCAATGTGAGTCAAAATCAGGAAAGTAATGATGGTAAAATAAGATTATAAATATAAAAGCATTATCTTTCAACAGAAATTAAACAACTGGAGTTAATCATATAAACTGTTTATAATTCATAATCCCTCCTCCACAGGTCCTCATCTATTTTTCCTGATTTTATTTTCCCCTTATGATTGTGTAGCTTCTGTTGAAGATGGATACAACTCAAGAGAAAGAAAAAATCTGAAAAATTAGTTTTTCTTTTAAAGGCAGCAACCAGCTTCTAAACTAGTGATTCTCAATCCTGGATGCACATCAGAATTACCTGGAAAACTTTTAAACTTTATCAAGGTCCAGGTCACACCAGAGACCAATTAAATCAGAATCTCTGGGGGTGTTATTTTTTTAAAGCTTCCCGGCTGATAACAAGGTGCAACCAAGGTTAAAAATCAGTTATAACCGTTATATACGTTATATACATTATATACATTATAACTGTATAGCTGACATCAAAACTGAAGGTGAAGGGGAAAAAAACTTTTGAGACAACTCACTTTTCCAACTTTGTTAGAGTAGATACTTTGCTAACAAGTTTATTGAAGAAGGTTAGAATTCTTCCAGTCCTAATTATTTTTCTTTATTTTTCTTTTTAGTATAGATAATACTTTTACTTTCCTACATTTATATTATTCATGTCATGAAATAATGGTGGTTGTGAAAAGTAATAATGTTAGCAACAAGTTTTTTTTGTTTTTTTGGCCATGTCACACAGCTTGTGGTAACTTAGTTCCCAGACCAGGGACTGAACCCAGACCATGAAAATGAAAGCATGAAGTCCAAATCCACTGCATTGCCAGAAGACACCCTGCAATAAGCTTTTAGGAAGCTTATTAAAAAAGCTTATAAAAAATTAATTTAACTTGATGTGAAGATGAACACATGATCATTTTCTTACTATAGTATACTATAAATGCTGATTCCTGACAGCTGAATTTTATAAAACCTCAAATGTAATGAACTTTTGTATTGATAACTTTTTTCTAATTTTCTTTTTTTCTTGGTTGTGCTGCCTTATGGCATATGGGATCGTCATCTCCTGACAAGGGATCAAACCTGCATCCCCTGCATTGGAAGTACAGACAAGAGTCTTAACTACTGGACTGCCAGGGAAGTCTCTGTCCTGTTTTGATAACTTTTATTTCATACCTTGTAAAAATCAGCGATTCTTTGAAGCATTTATGTTTTTCTCTATGGAGTAATGTTTAAAAGGTACAGAGCATCAAAGAGGACAAGCCTGCCATGCTCCTAGCTCCATGTGCCTTTGGACCACTTGGTTCTAACACATGACATTGTTCCTATTAAATCCTGACAGGTGTTCAAAGTTCAGGAATAAAGTAAATGGAATAATTTTTCTGTTACTGGCTATACTCTTCATCAGGTACTTCTAGTCTAGACATCTGTTTTATTGTGTTCTGCCACATGTGCAAGAATAAAAACGTTACCCAAAACCTGAAGATCTTTTCAATTACTTTGAGATACAGATTGGTGGTGGTTTAGGTAGCAAAAAAGAAGACACCTTTGTATCATTTCTTTGCAATAAAAGACAACATCTGGCTCACATATTAAAGTTGATAACTACTGACTTTTTGAAGGCAATTTTAGTCTATGCTCTGCAGTACCCCTTTGTGGATTTAACACTAGGCGAAACACTTCAGCTTACACTTTATTTTTACATATTACTTCCATCAAAACCCTCCACTACTACAAAGGTTAAAATAATTCAGCACTTAAGTTTTAAAAATTACCTCAATGTTCCTCTAAGTTGTCCATAGTTTATGATGACTTCTGCACCTTCCTTATAACCTTGATTGAAGCCTTGCTGAAGAGTAACTGCTTTGCCAGCATCTATTCCATCTCTGTAGCCTTCCTAAAAATAAGCAATGAAGAATTACAGCTGTAACTAACACCAAGTAAACCAGCGTAGGTTTTTCTAGGAAGTCACAGAACCAATTTAGAAACTGATGAAACAGACCTCTATTGTGTTATTTAACATCATGGTTCTATAACATATGGCATAATCACACAACCAAAGTAGACTATGCTTCTCATAACAGTTTATTGTTGGTTTATCCCATTTTTCTAGTCTAGATTTATTTGGCACATTTTAAAATACTGATTCTACATATTAAAAAAAAATCCATGTTAGCAATAGCTCCACAGAAAGGAAACATGGAGAATTAGGTGTCTGGTCCTTTAGAAACTGGTTTGGTGTAGGTGGGTAAGGCAGGGCAGGGTTACCAAGGTCTTGGAACTGGAGTAGGGAAAGAGGAAATTGGCATAGTAAAAGGAAGATGAGAAGTCTGGTTTTAGAAATTTTGCTTGATTTAAAAATTTACCTTAATTTAAGTAAACTGAAAATCCTCTGTGTGCAAGGATTTTGTCTTGCCACAACACTCAAAAGGTGCTCAATACTTACTGGTTTAGCCTCAGCTTCACATAAGGCATTTCTGAAGTTAACAACATTGTTGTTGTGCTAAGCAAATATTATTTTACTGAGACATTAAACAAGGGCAGATTTAATGGCAATTTAATGGTTGGCAAGGACACTAGCTGGCACAGATCTCACCATTTGTTCCTCACCCTGAACTAAGCTGTGAGAGCTCCACCTGGAAACTGTGTGTGTAGTGTTAAGCTGAGACTCAGTGAATAGTAAGACAAATTAGAGATGGATAATTCACACCCAACGAATTAAAAAAAAAGAAACATTAATACTCCCTTATGTAGCCACCACCATTCCTTATTTTGTTCAGTTGCTCAGCCTCGTCTGACTCTGTGACCCCATTCCTTATTAGCTTTCTCTTACTGCCCTTTGACAACATTCTTAAGTTCACTTTTTCCATTTGTCCTGATTAACACTACTAACTTTAGGCCCACTCATTCAAGCAATCCATGTCAACTGCCTACATGTCCTTTGACAGACATAATTAGAACAGCGTAAAGGTTTCTCGTCCACCCCTTTCCCTCTGATGCCCATCAAACCGAAATCTCTCCAGTCTTTGACAAAGTTTATTTTGTTCGGTCCCCAGTGTCCATCCAACACACTCCACGGGCGCTCGAGGAAAACATCCTTTGGTGTCGCACGGTTTCAAGTAACCCACTGGGAAACCCTAGCAGGACGTGGGCCAGACTGAATGGTAAGGGAGAGGGAGGGCAGCGCCAGGCCAGCCCGCGACTATTCCGGCCTTCATCCTGGGACCCCACCTCCTCACAACTCCCAGCTCCAGTCCTAACAACCCGGTAGAGCAATGGATCCCCGCCCCCTCCACGCAGCTTTACTTTGACTCGTCTCTGCATGTGGCTCCGCCATTCCCGCTGCACCAGGAGCGACTCATCGGCTTCCTCGTCAAACACGTCCCCCTCCTCTTCAGCACCTTGGACCAAAGATACAGCTTGAACCCACGACATCACTGAGGCAACCGCAGGGCCGCCGGACGCCGGAAGGGCCCGTAACTCCTTCCGGTCCGAGGGGCGGGGCGAAGACAGAGAGCGGAGCTCGCGGCACCGCTGCGCGTGCGCGAAGATGTGCGTGGTGTCTGAAGGTTGTGACAGGTTCACAGGGTGGTCGCGGATCCCGGGAAGGTTCTGGCTCCCGCCCGAGGTTTTTGCTTCTCGATATTTGGAAGTACCCTTACTAAGCTGTAAATGTCACCGTGCACTTGTGGGCGAGGCGGGTTCCTCCCACGTGGAACCCCTCTGACCTTGACAGCGGAAGGCAGCGTCAACGTTCCGTGAAACACTTGCCCTTCTACCATGGTGGCTGCTGGGGTCTGGGTTTTGAAGACGCGTGCATTGGCAAAACCCTTCGAGGTAGTTCTTTTGAGGGACTCCGTCATTTTAGAATCCCCCTCATTGCATTGGAGAAGGAAATGGCAATCCACTCCAGTGTTCTTGCCGGGAGAATCCCAGGGACGGGGGAGCCTGGTGGTCTTCCGTCTTTGGGGTCTCACAGAGTCGGACACGACTGAAGCGACTTAGCAGCAGCAACGGCAGTGCATTTAAAGGTTTGGACTGCCCGGCTGTTTTAATTGTTAGGAGCGTGGAACAAAGGACATTAAAGAAGTTAAGATATTGCAGCCCTTTTGAGATCAGTAAATATAAAGTGCGTATATAAAACGAAAGGTATTTCTCATTGATTCACAGCACCCTTCTCTGACTTCTGTTCCTTCTGAAACGCCAGAAAAGACTACTGGTGAGGATGGAGACTTGTTTTTATATATAAGAACTCAGCACCAGCACTGTTCCGAACTGTAGTAGGTGTTGAAACAAAAGTTAATGAATGAATGGATACCATCAGTATTCCTGTTTGGCCCTTTGCGTGCTCATGTGGTAGTCTGTGTTCATAGCTCAGTCCTGTGTGACTCTGCAACCCCACAGACTGTAGCCCTACAGGCTCCTCTGTGCATTGAATTCTCCAGGGAAGAATTCTGGAGTGGGTAGCCATTTCCTCTTCCAAGGGATCTCCCCTACCCGGGGATGGAACCAGGGCCTCCTGCATTGCAGGCGGATTCTTCACAGTTTGAGCCACCAAGGAAGCCCATGTGGTAATGATGATTTACTTAGCTCACAAATTTTCTTGAATAATTTGCATTGTGCCAGCCACCGTTATATGCTTTTGAAATACATCGGTGAACAACACACAGAAGTCCCAGCTCTGACATTCATGAGGAATTGCCAGAGGATAAGCAATAAACACTATATAAGTAAATTATACCATTTGTTACAAGATTAGGATACATGCTATGAAAAAATATTTAAAAACAAGCAAAGTAAAGAGAGCTATGGGTATGTGTGTGAGTGAGGGCAGTTGGGTAGTACACGTTATTATTTTAAATGTTCAGAGAAAATCTTTTGTACATATTTAATATATGAAAAATATGTGCTATGCTTGGTAGGTCCATGGAACATGTATAGAAACATTGTATGCTTTGTAACAAAAAACCTTAATAAACTAATCATAATCCAATATAATTGATAATAAATAATAAGTTACTCCAATAATTATAATTTAAATATAACATTGGACATATAAGCATCTTCCTAAATAACATTTGAATCAAAAAGTAAATAAAAATTAAAACAACATAATAAACAATAAAAATCAGAATAATTCGTACCATAAAAACCTTGAGAACAAATGAAAGGTGTCTTATTAGGCAATTCTGGAGGCTTTAATGTTTTTATTATTAAAGAAGAAAGAAAAAAAAGACAGAATTACTATGTATCTTAGTTAGAAACAAACTGATAGTAAGGGAAGCAGTAAAGAAAACAATTGGAATTAATAAAATACAAACACCCAAACTTGCATAAGTAATTCGAAAAGCTGGTTGTTTGAAAACATCAATAAAACAGACAGTCCTTTTCTGACCTTGATATAAAAGAACAAAATTATACAAGATAAAAATGAGAAGGAAGGTAATGATATAGAAAAAAATCAAATATTATAAATTACTGAAACTTGTGACACATTTGAAAACAGATGATATGAATGACTTCCTAATAAAATTTATCAAGCAAGTACAAAACGTGAAGAAACTAATTACCATAGAAAAATTGGAGATTACTATAAAAATAGCATGGAGATGAGAATTTCACAGTTAAATATTTTAAATCCTTTTTAATCTTTAAAGAATGATGGATAAATAAATATTATTTTTTACTCCTGTACGGCACAGAAAAAGAAACTCCCTAAATCATTTCATGAAACCAGCTTTACTCTCATCTGCTAAAGTTAATATGAAAGAACTCCCAAAGTTCAAGTTAGCTTATGAATATGTATTTAAAAAATAATCCAGTATCTTATCAAAGGAATAATTCAAGAGGTTTTATTTCATAAACACAAATTGTTGCAATATTAGTGAAAAGTGAAGTCTCTCAATCATGTCTGACTCTTTGCGACCCTGTGGACTGTAGCCTACCAGGCTCCTCCGTCCATGGGATTCTCCAGGCGTTGCAATATTACGAAACCTATATTTCACTGCATCATCAATTTAAAAGAGAAACCATGTATTGTACTAATAAAAGCAAAAAAGTCAGTTGGGTTTCCCAGGTGGGTCAGTGGTAAAAAATTCTCCTGCCAATGCAGGAAACTCAAGAGACACTGGTTCAGTCCCTGGGTTGGGAAGATCCCCTGGAGTAGGAAATGGCAACCCACCCAAGTATTCTTGCCTGGAAAATTCCACGGACAGAGGAGCCTGGTGGGCTACAGTCCATGGGGCCGAAAAGAGTCAGACATGACTGAGCACACACACACACTTGAAATTTAAAAGAAAGAATCATTCTTAACAAAATAATACAGAAAACACAAACTGATAAGAATTTTATAAGTCCAACAGCAAGTACTATTCTAAACATTCAGATGTTATTTCCCTTAAAGTAGGGAAAAGAAAGAATATCTGGTGATCACCATGATTATTCAGCATTCATTTGGAGATAAGTGAATGCAAAAGAGATGTAAACAAAATAATCTATATAAATGTTGGATAATAAGAAATGAAGTTATTTTTATTTCTTGCTGTTTATGTGATTGCATACCTAAGTGAAGCGAGTGATAGTTGCTCAGTCATGTCTGACTCTTTGTGACCCCATGGACTATATAGTCCATGGGATTCTCCAGGCCAGAATACTGGAGTGGGCACTTGTTCCCTTCTCCAAGGGATCTTCCCAACCCAAGGATCAAATCAAGATATCCCACATTGCAGGAACCTAGATCTCCTGGATTCTTCTCCATCTGAGCTATAAGGGAAGCCCAAGAATACTGGAGTGGGGAGCCTATCCCTTCTCCAGCAGATCTTGCCTGACCCAGGAATCAAACCAGGATCTCCTGCATTGCAGGCAGATTCTTTACCAACTGAGCTATTAAGGAAGCCCAAGACTAAGACTTCAGTTAAAAACAAAATGAATAAAGGAATTCGAGAAGTTTTCTGGATATAGGAAGAATAAATTGATCAATAATAGCCTTTTTATTTTTTTTAGCAATAACCATCTAAAAGCATAGATTAGATAAATATTCCACTTGCAATGCCCATGAATACTATTAGATATAGTGTTTATATATTCAGTATTTGGTATTTATTAGTATAGTATTTATAAACACTGGGAATACATTTTAAAAAGTCAATTTTATTAAAGTATAATTTACATACAGTACTATGCATAGGATCATGAAAGAGAGTTCTGACAAAATGTAGTCCACTGGAGAAGGTAATGGCAAACCACTTCAGTATTCTTGCCTTGAGAACCTCATGAACAGTATGAAAAGGCAAAAAGATAGGACACTGTAAGATGAACTCCCCAGGTTGGTAGGTGCCCAATATTCTACTGGAGATCGGTGGAGAAATAAATCCAGAAGGAATAAAGAGACAGAGCCAAAGCAGAAACAACACCCAGTTGTGGATGTGACTGGTGATGGAAGCAAGGTCCAATGCTGTAAAGAGCAGTATTGCATAGGAACCTGGAATGTTAGGTCCATGAACCAAGACAAATTGGAAGTGGTCGAACAGGAGATGGCAAGAGTGAACATCAACATTTTAGGAGTCAGTGAACTAAAATGGACTGGAATGGGTGAATTTAACTCAGATGACCATTATATCTACTACTGTGGGCAAGGATCCCTTAGAAGAAATGGAGTAGTTATTATAGTCAACGAAAGAGTCCAAAATGCAGTACTTGGATGCAATCTCAAAAATGACAGAATGATCTCTATTCACTTCCAAGGCAAAGCATTCCATGTCACAGTAATCCAAGTCTATGCCCGGATTAGTAATGCTGAAGAAGTTGAAGTTGAACAGTTCTGTGAAGACATACAAGACCTTTTAGAACTAACACCCAAGGAAAATGTCCTTTTCATTATAGGGGACTGGAATGCAAAGAAGTCAAGAAACACCTGGAGTAACAGGCAAATTTGGTTTGGAGTACAGAATGAAGCAGGGCAAAGGCTAATGCCAAGAGAACACATTTGTCATAGCAAACACCCTTTTCCAACAACACAAGCGAAGACTCTACACATGGACGTCACCAGATGGTCAACACCGAAATCAGATTGATTATGTTTTTTGCAGCCAAAGATGGAGAAGTTCTATATAGTCAGGAAAAACAAAACTGGGAGCTGACTGTGGCTCAGACCATGAACTCTTTATTGCCAAATTCAGACTTAAATTGAATAAAGTAGGGAAAACCACTAGACCATTCAGGTATGACCTGAATCCCTTACGATTATACAGTGGAAGTGAGAAATAGATTTAAGGGACTAGATCTGATAGAGTAGCTGAAGAACTATGGACGGAGATTCGTGACATTGAACAGAAGACAGGGAACAAGACCATCCCCAAGAAAAAGAATTGCAAAAAAACAAAATGACTGTCTGAGGAGGCCTTACAAATAGCTGTGAAAAGAAAAGAAGCAAAGGA